ACATAGAATTTTGTCCCAAATTCTGTCGCGAATAACAGATTGTCTAAAATGGGCTTGAAAACAAACTTTAGAGAACAAACTTTGTGTTGAAATTGCTCATCAAAAGATAGAATCGATGAGATGTCGCCGAAATTGCCCCGTGGTATGTTTCACTCAATAAAAAATTAAATACGTCTCTTTCAGTCTCAACTATGCGTCGTTTTTTTTTACATGCCCGAATCATAAAAACTAAAAAAAAGGAGATATAAAACTTGAAAAATATAAGAAAAATCTTAAAATTTTTCGAATGCTTTATGACTAAATTTCCAATTCTCATGAAAAAAAGAAAACCCTTTCGATTAAAAAAAAATTCAAAATTTGGATAAAATATTAAAATCTTAAAAAATACATATACTATACATTATTATATATCTTTATATGTATAAAATTATTAAAAATTATTTTAACTACTAAAAAAAAATTGGAAAATATAGTTTAAAGACATAATTTTAAAATATTGCAAGAATGAGTCATAAGTTAAGAGTCATAAGTATAAAATTATGTTTATGTGCTATGTGCGAGATAAGCACGTACCCAGACAACAAAAAGTGTCTAAGATCGAATCATAAAGTTTTTTTTGCGTCTAAAAAATGACTTAAAGACGTCTTATATCACAATTTTAGACTTTGTGTTGTTTGAATAATGTAGGTATATTTCAAAAAGTTGAAGCGCAATCTTCTCTGCGCACTATTATGTAACTGTTTTATTTGCCTTCGTACTACGTCTAATTTAAAAATTTTCATTTACGTACTATACGAAACTGATTCAGTAAATAATGTCTGCGATATCCTTGACAGTGTTGGATTCGCTAATTTCATTGAAATAGCTACTATAATACAAGTATTGTAACATACGCAAAAAGAATTGTCACCGATCAGAACGAATTTTAATTACTTCTCACGCGTTCATGAGCACCGAAGCTCTACCGGGATTTTAATTCGGAAAACGTTGGCTGCGAGTAGATCATGCATGAAGGTGGCGATGAGAAAACGATCGGCATGTGTGTATGTGTATGTATGTGTTACGAAGATTGAGCGGTGACCTGTCACCGCTTCCACGGGGTGTGTTGTAAATGTAGGTGAAGAGTAAATGTCTATTTATAACGATGGAGAGACGATGAGGATAAGGGACCAGCGGGGGAGAATTTACCCCTGTGCGCAGAACATGGCACACTGTATGGGACATTTATTCAAACAGCGACCCCGCTACAACGTCATTGATGCTGATCTGCAGCACTGACTTCCGAATTTTCATATTGCAAACATCGATAAAGGAAACATTTGAGAAAAGAATCGATCTTACGATTTAGTAAAAACACTATGGTTATTGCCAAAAATAGTTATAGCGATGCTCTTAATCGGTAAAAAAATTGCGTTTATTTCGGTACTGATACGTTAAATGTGCAAAAAAGCTACTTTTGTTTGTACTACGACTATAATAAATCAGTAATAGCGAAAAAATGAATGAGAAAAAAATTATCGATTTTTATCGTATAATACTAAAATTATTTAGAAGAATCCGTTCAAGAAGCGACTTGCGTAATAATGCGCAAAGTTTATAATATATTAGTGTACAAAAAAAATAAATATTTTGGAAAAGAAATTATCAATAAGATACCCACTAAATTTTTTGGAGTGGAATCCCCTAAAGTTCTAAAGAGAAAATTGAGATAGTCTTTTCAATATTTAAGAATGAGATTTCATTCTTCGGAGTGAGACTCATTTTAAAAGTTTTAGAGAACACATAGTATGTTACAGTATTAGTCATTTATTCTAACGTATACAAACGTAATTTTAACGTATAAAAAAGATAATTAATATTCATATTGTATTTATTTATTATCAATTTTTAGGATATTCATGTTGAATATCAATAGATCCGTGTAAATTTATTCGGATCCAATTACCGAGAAATCACCACGATGATTTTAGAATTTAGAAGATACGTCACAGGACCGTACCGATTAGGGAATTTCCTCGCAAGGAAAATTCCCTCTCCCTCGTGATCGGTTTTGTATTTGTTAGGAAAATAAATTTCATTACGCTTCCTCCCCAGTTTCCTCTCTCTCTCTCTCTCTCTCTCTCTCTCTCTCTCTCTCTCTCTCTCTCTTCACCTTAATTTTATCTACGTGATAGCAGGGGCGTACGGAGCCGAGGCGCGCATAAAACTGACCGGCGCTTCGGCAGATGCTACTAGTCTCTCGTCTGACGTGGCTCGCGGCAAATGTTCGATACGTACGAGGAAAAATCGCGCGGCGCTCGAGTTACGAGAATACGCGAGAAGAAGTACGCGCGATCGAGGGGGCCGATTTTCCGCCAAAGTGGAGCTTTTCGAGCGGTAGCGGAAACGAAACGTGAGTGGAACCGATGGGCCACACCGTCGAAATTCATCAACGTCGCCGTTCGCCACTCGTTCGCTTCAGAGTTGCACCCCTTTCAAAGTCGCGTTTTAAAAATCTGCATTCGCTTACGTAAAAAGAATTGGCGTAAACAGTCGATTTTCCGTCAAAGAGTAATGAATTTTTCGAGTGGTAGCAGAAAAGAGATGTGAGCGTACCGGCACGCTTCGTTCCAAGTTCTTCTATATAAAGCTTCGTTCTCCACTTGTTCCGCTTGGATTTTTTAAAAGTTCCGTTATAAAATCTACATTTTGTTACACTTTATAAAAAAAAAGAAAAGAAAGTTTCGATTACTGGAAAAAAAAAGGAACAAAAAATATGACCGATTAAAAAACTACAATTACAGATTTTACGTTCAACAGTTAAAAAATATGACTTGTTTGTTATGAAATTCAAGTTTTCGTCAAACAGAAATTTGAGCTGAATATACACGATTGTATTATTTGTTCAAACTTACGTCTCCATAATATTTATCACGTGGTACCTCGTGTGTAATTAATTCAGTACACGAGCATCCCACGACGTTACTTCCATAATATTTTTGCGGATTATTATTAGACGCGTTCATCGATATCACATTTCCTTTTGCTCGAAAGAATTAATAACGCCGCGAAGAGTCCTCGCAAAAGCGCGGAAGACTTGATCCTTTTCTAAAGCAAATATAGGAGGATAATAGCGAAGAGAAGAGAGGCGCGTCGGCCGCGCCGATAGGAACGTTTAAAAAAAAGAAAGTCACGAACGCATGTGCGACGTGTAGGTACGTCGCGTTCGTGCCTAATCAGGCGGGTATTTGCACGCTTTGACGCTTCTTCGCAAAAATCGCTGCATTCCAGCCCGGGGTATTCTGGCATCATGAACATCGATGAATTTCGCGTGCGCGGCAAGGAGATGATCGAGTACATATGCGACTACATCCGCACGCTGGACGGCAAGAGGGTGACGGCGAACGTCGATCCCGGTTACCTGAGACCTCAGCTGCCGAAGGAGGCACCCTTTAAGCCGGAATCATGGGACGCCATCATGATGGACGTCGATGGCAAAATAATGCCCGGAGTGAGTTTGCGGTTGTAACGGGTTGCCGCGATTATCGATCCCCCTTCTCTCTCTCTCTCTCTCTCTTTGTTGCCATTGATTTCAACCCCCTTTTCCGATATAAATAATGTTCCTGCTACGTGAAAGAGAGAAAAAAAAATAGATAAAAATTCTCTCTCTCTCTCTTTCTCAGAGATTTACAAAATTAACAACGTGACATTTGGTAGATCAATCGCGTTTTTTCAGTTTTTTACCGATGCAGCAAGTTTTTCCAGATGCACTCTCTTTGCGAGAACTTGAGGAAAAGTTAAGGTCGGCCAGTGATGTAAAATGTTTACGATGCAACGTGTATTATGCAAACTTTGTATAAAAGACAATAGAATTCACAGTCAATAGAAATATTTTTCCAGCAGACAATGAA